AATGAGTAATTAGGCGCCTTTGTGTTAGGTGCGACTGTATGAAGTTTGGAAAATCGGAGGAAGTTAAGCATCATCTTTATAGGAAGGGGTTTATAGAGAATTACTTTGTGTGGACTAATCATGGAGAGATCGATGGTAGCCGTGGGATATTTCATAACATGGTTGTTGGTGAAAGTAGTAGGTCGGTGGAGAATACAAATCGTGATTCTAGAATTCAGGATATGGTTACGGATGCTTTTGGGATGCACTTCGGGGGTGAGCCCAATGAAAATGTTGAACAAACTCCTAATGATGACGCAAAACATTTTTATGAACAGTTAGAGGTAGTAGCTCTGACCACCCTACACCGTTCACACATGCCTCTGATATACATGCTTCAGACGATGATGCTGATGATGACGAGGAGGTGCATTATGATCAATATGGCAGGATCATCATAGTCCCTGAGGGTGATGGGTAAGAGTTATTTGTTATTTTTGCATTTATTATTTTTTAAAGTTTTTACTAAGATATTAATGTGTTTTTATTGTTGAATTGCAGGTTCATCCCGAGTAATAAGACTATGAGGATAATCACCAAAGCCATCAGAAAGCTTTATGATGGACCTTATGCGACTTGGACTGGTTTCTCATTCTCGCTGAAGGAGCAAATTTTCAATCAATTTAAGGTATAAATATTCTTTTAATCAGTTTAATAATTTATATTTATGATATTTCTTGTTTAATATTTAACTTTTGAAATACAGAGCAAGTGTGTATGGGAACACCGCTATAGCGCGGAAGTGGCTGCAAATTTTCATCATAATGCTCGCAAGCGATTGTCGGATACTTTCTCCGAAGCTAGAAAGAAGAACAAGAAGCCTGACTGGTTACTTTAAAATCTATGGGATGATTTGAAAAGGAAATGGCTTACTGCAAAGTTCTTAGAGAAGAGCGAAAAAGGAAAGAAAGCTCGCGCATCTGAGAAGGGAGGCTCCTTGCAAACTGGAGGTGCGGTCAGCCTTGGGACAATAAAAGAAGATTGGTACGTAATTGCTTAAATTATTTTAATTTTCAAAGTATATCTATTCAATTTATTAACTAAATTAATTTGTTTTCAAGAAAAGAAGTTGGGGCGTCCAATGAATCATGATGAGCTATTCAAGGAGACGCATATTGTAAAGAAGAAGAAAGAGACGGATCAAGAAAGGTGGGTCAAGGACCGGGCCTCGACTGTATATGTAAGCTTTCTCTTTAAGTATTTTAATTTACTTTTATATAAATTTTGAAATACTAATTCAATTTTAATTTTCGTATAGGGTCGCTACCAAACTAACGTGGAGGAATTCATCCGCACCCAGCCAGCTGGTGAATCGGGCGAGCCAACCCAACCTTCGGACGAGGATGCTGAAAGAATATGGATGGAGTCTGCTGGCGGTCCAAAATAGGGGAAGGTATACGGGCTTCCTACTAAAAAGTTCCATTGCTATAAGTGTGGAATGCAAGGAATATGGACTTCCTCGCAAGGCGAGCAACTTAATGGGGAGAGCCTCTCCGCTATGCGGGAGACTGTGACAAAGCTCAAATCCGAGCTAGAAACGGCCAAGGAAAGAGAAAGGGTTAGAGATGCTCAATTCCTTGGCATGCAAGCTCAGATCAGAACTCTCCTATCTACTGGAGCTTTTCCGTTGCCCCGGTCTCGTGAGTCATCGCCAGAGGCTCGACTTGAACGTGAGTGTTCCTTCCGTCCTCCCCGTGATCGTTCCTCCCGTCCTCCCCGTGGTCGTTCTTCACGTCCTCCATAAGACCCTTCTCGACACTGTCTTTTAGATGCAAGTTCATCAGACGGTGATGATGATGTTGTACAAAACACTCCTTGACTTGTATATACTTTGAACTAGACAAATAGAGCCGGTTCTGAACTAGTTGCAATAAGTATTAACTTGGTTTTGGATTTTTTAGTTCTATTGAACTTTAATTTGTTAGTTTTAATGTATTTATTGAATTGTGTTGTTGTTGTTGTTGTTGTTGTTGTTGTTGTTGTTAATTAGGGATTTTGGTATGCTGGCAGGTGGTGTAGCTGCCAAAACAGGCATTTTATGCCAAATTAAAACCCAGAAAACCGACCAAAGTTGGTTGGTATCTAACTAAAAAAATAATTTTCTGCTGAGTAGCGACCAAGGTTGGTCGCTTAATTTTTTTAAAAAAATTAAAAATTAAAAATTACCGACCAAAGTTGGTCGGTTAATGAACAAGGATTATCCAGATTTCTACTTTATCGACCAACTTTGGTCGGTATGATTAAATTATAATTTTTAAAAAATATATATATTTTACTTTACCGACCAACTTTGGTCACCAATTTTTAAATTTTAATAATTAATAAAATAACGTAATTTAAATACACCGACCAACTTTGGTCGGTAAAATTAAATTATTAAAATATGTTACCGACCAAAGTTGCTCGGTATGTGCTTTAAATTGCACAGTTGCTCCTTTTACCTTTGCGACCAACCTTGGTCGGTAATTGGCGACCAACCTTGGTCGATATACTAAAGCGACCACCAAAATAGCGACCAAGCCTGCAATTTGGACGCGTTTTGGTCGGTAATTTGCCTAAACGGACCAACATTGATAGCTTTTTATGGTCGCTAATTAGCGGATTTCTAGTAGTGTTTTTTTTAGTTGCAAGACAAAATCGGACAGCCAATAGTTACTAGATTGAACAACAATCTCACCAATAAGTTCAGTTTTTCCATTACATAAACGTAGGTCCACACAGTACTTTTGGACCACAACTATCTCCATTTCAAATCATAGGTCAATTTCATGTTGGAAGTTATGTACTCTCTCCATTTTAATTTATTTGAATTTCGGAGTACGAGGATTAATATGACTAATTTTCAATGTAAATGGGGATATCGATTCTTTAAGTATTTTAAAATAAAATTTACATATTTAGAAACTACATAAAATATACAATAAAACCCAATAGTTAACAATTTGAAATACTTAAAAAATATTTGCAAAAAAACATGGTCAAGAAAACATTATTTGACTCCCCATATAGTAATAGGTTCATGCTTTTTGAGACACATGGTTGTTCTGGTTTTGACCAAACTTTCAGCCATTCATCCTTTGTTTTCTTAACGAGCATATAATTCGTAATTGTACCAAAATCTTCAGCAGGATAGGCAAAGAGTTTAGTACTTTCTTCTTCCCCCCCCCCCACCCCCCCCCCCACCCCGCCCCCCACCCACAATTTGATTAGTATATAGAATATGTAAAAGATAAGAGAGCATCACGCACCTACTAAAAAAAATTAACATGATTTAATTTGCTTTTAAACTGATTATAAAATAAGGCCCACTTGTGTTCTCTATGGTTTATAGACAAGAAAGCATGCAAGAAAAAAAAAAATAAGCCTTCAATTATCATCTTGTCTCCATCTTGAATGCCATTGACATTCAATTGCGTTCTCAATAATTATGACGTTTTCTGAAGCATGAATTTCTGTGGAAAAAATGGAATTGCAGAAGAACAATAAAATTATTTCGGTACTAGTAACTTTGTTAGAAAATTATCATCTTCTGCCTGTGATAACTGCTGAAGGGCCGAAGCGGGCCTATGTTGTAAAGAGAGGGGTTATCAGCACCGGAAAAATTCGATAAAAATTTTATATATATATATCTTTAAAAATTAGTAATATATCAATAATAACACTGTATATACAAAGCAGGTTTAGATTGAATACAAAAACAATAACCTTCAAATCCTAAGTTGGCCTATTTACTCGGAAAGTAAAAGTTAAAGGAAAATGAGACCAAAAGCATTACGTATTTTTGACCTTCCACTCTGAGCATATTTTGGAAGTGACAGCAAGGGTTGCTGCAGAATTATGTGTGGAAAAGAATTAATTTAGTGAATGAAAAGGACAATAGGAAGGGGGGTGGGGAAGAAAGAATTTTTTGGGTTTTACATTTGGAAAAAGCCGATTATTGACTGTTCTTGATTCTTTCACTCAAATGATTGACTTGTAGAATTAAAATTTCCATTACAATCTCTTAATTCCTTTAGTTTCTGTCACTACATGTTCTCTATTATATGGTCCATCTCCCCCACCCAAAAAAAAAAAAAAAAAAGAAACTAATAAAATAAAACTTCAAACCAGGCACAAACGACAATACCATATCAAATTTTATAAAGTAGCATTGATTTCAACAACTTGAAAGGAAATATAGAATCAAGAACCAAAGCAAGAATATATACTTCTTTATGTAGTGCCTTCAAGCAGATTCCCATTTTTACATTTCAAAGAGAATGAAGAAATTCCTTTTCTGATTTTATAGTCTTGGCTAGTCATTATGCATACTTGCTTTGGTCTTCAATAAGTTGATGAAACAGTAATTAAAAATTGATTAATCTTGTATAAAATTACAACAACTACTGTAACAGTATAATCCCACAAGTGGGGTTTGGGGAGAGTAGTATGTACGCAGACCTTACCTCTACCGTGAGATAAAGAGGCTGTTTCCGTCGGCTCAAGGAAAGATGCAAGTAAAGCAATATCAACAAGCAGTAACGACGACAAAAAAAAAAAAAAAAAAGGCAAAGGAACAACAAAGTGATAAAAATCTACCAATAATAGAATACAAGACTGCCACTAAAAATCTTGTATAAAATTGATAGATACAATTTAGTGTCTGATAATAAACAAGTTTTTGTTGAGTTTACTTAAGAGTGAAGATGTTTGGAAAGTCAATCATGTTAATTTTAAGTTTCTTCTTTAATATAAAAGACAAAGAGCTACATGTAATATATAGTAGCATTTCACTTTAGCAGCAAGTGGCTAGAACCATAATAAAGCATTGATTACTTTGATGAATGCCCAACCAACATGATCATGTTAGTCAACATACCACTATCTCCAATAAAGCAAATTAAAGAAAGAAGAACAAAAAAAAGGAAGGAAAAGGAAAACAGAACCCACAAGAAAAAAAACAAGAAATACCAATATAACTTTTTTCTGTTATCTGCTTTCCTTCTAAGCTGCTTTGGTCTGCCCCCTTTTTCACCTTCATTTGCTACTACAATACTCTTCAAAGCCACACTTCAATCATTCACATTCTTTACTTCCTTCTATCTGATATTAATATAACCACTGAGCTCAGGTAAATTCTTCTCATTCCCCTGACTTTCTCCCTTCTTTTCTAATTTGATTCATTGGTCTTGTTACTATATTCTTAATATTTTGTGTTGTTACTACTTGTCGGCACTGCTTTTTCTCATCTTTTCTTCGGTCGAGGGTATCGGAAACTGCCTCTCTGCCTTTCAAAGGTAAGGATAAGGCTGTGTACATTCCACCCTCTCCAGATTCCACTAGTAAGAATACACTGGGTTCGTTGTTGTTGTTGTTGATCTTGTTACTATTGCTTGAGATAGGAGAGTAACCTCTTTCGGGCTACACCATTGTTATTTTCTTTTTCTGCAGCCCCATGTATAGTAAGAGTCTTTCTAACGACGAGCAATTAGTACCTATAAGTAATCCAAGAACTTGGGTACCCTATATGAGTTCACTTAGTCTCCTATTTAGAAGCTTAAGTTGGAAAAGTCAACCGGATGTTGACATATGTGTAAACGATCTCGGATGTGAATTCTGATTGTTCTATTAGCTCCGTTAGGTGATTTTGACTTGAGAGCGCATCCGTAAAGTGATTTGGAGGTCCGTGGTAGAATTAGTCTTGAATTAGCGAAATTGAAAAATTAGGCCATTTTGGTCGGCAGTGGAAAATTTGATATCGGGGTTGGAATGGAATTCTAGAAGTTGGAGTAGGTTCATAGTGTCATTTTGTGACGTGTGTGCAAAATTTCAGGTCATTCGAATGTGATTTGGTAGGTTTTTGTATCGTTTGAGGAGTTTGGAATTTAGAAGTTCTTAAGCTTGAATCCGAGGGTGATTTGGTGTTTTGATGTTGTTTTGAGCGATCCGAAGGTTCGACTAAGTTTGAATGATGTTATGTGACTTGTTGGTATTGTGGGTTGAGGTGCCGAGGGTCTCGNGGAAACTGCCTCTCTGCCTTTCAAAGGTAAGGATAAGGCTGTGTACATTCCACCCTCTCCAGATTCCACTAGTAAGAATACACTGGGTTCGTTGTTGTTGTTGTTGATCTTGTTACTATTGCTTGAGATAGGAGAGTAACCTCTTTCGGGCTACACCATTGTTATTTTCTTTTTCTGCAGCCCCATGTATAGTAAGAGTCTTTCTAACGACGAGCAATTAGTACCTATAAGTAATCCAAGAACTTGGGTACCCTATATGAGTACAAAGGACTGTTCTCAAGGATTTTGCAGTTTATACTGTCCACAATGGTGTTACATAATCTTCCCTCCACCACCTCCATTTGAATTCCCTGATGATGATGATTCTAGCCCTAATTTCTCCCCTCTAGTTATCGCGATCATCGGAATTTTAGCCAGTGCTTTCCTATTAGTCAGCTATTATGCTATAATATCAAAGTATTGTGGTAATAGGAATGTTACAAGAAGAAGGGAAAATAATCAAGAAGATTCAGAATTAGAAGATGAAGATCATGACCCTTCGAATCACGAACCATGGCATGTAAATCCAGGTGGTTTAGATGAAGCTTTAATCAAGTCTATTACTGTGTTTAAGTACAAGAAAGGTGATGGATTATTGACTGAAGGCACAGATTGTTCTGTTTGTTTAAGTGAATTTCAAGAGGATGAAAGCCTTAGACTTTTACCAAAATGTAGCCATGCTTTTCATGTAATGTGCATTGATACATGGCTTAAATCTCACTCCAATTGCCCTTTATGTCGAGCTAATATCATCTTTCCAAATGCTTCACCTTCTCCAATCATGGAAATTACTCCTCTATCTAATGAACCAACTCCACAACTCCAACCTGAAAATGATATAGAAATGGGCATTAGAGAAGAAGAAACACAAGAAGAAGAAGATGTAACAAGCCATATTAATCAAGAAGTTAGGAGATCAGTGTCAGTGGACTATGGATCACAAGGTCGTTTATCGATAGCTGATGTATTAAGAATTGATCACGACGAATTCCAAGATTGTGTAATGGAAGATGGGCAGTTGCAAAGAGATGTTGGAACATCAAAATTACAAGACAATAATGGTGAAGAAATGAGTAGGAGTGGGATTAGAAACAATGTACTTACACATTGTGTGGCAAGTCCAATGGTGATGAAGAGATCATTATCCAGTGGGAGATTATTGTTTCCCAAACGTGGAAGAGTACAAAACTTGGTCATTCCTTTGTCAAATATTTGAATAATTTTGTGTCAAGATTTAGAGGGATTTTTCTATGCGTTTAAACAAATTAAGAGTCAGTAACCATGAGTTTGAAAGGTCTTTTTTATTTTAGAAATTGAGCTTTTCTGTTCTTTAGTTCATCCACTATTTTTGTAGGGCTGAGTGAGTGGAGGATTGTTCTATGCAAAAATCAAGGGAGAGCTCATCTCTAATGGGACTCCATTGGTATGATTTCTTGAGTTTTATTTGTTTGATTATTGTGTGATTGGCTAGTCTTGTTACATTATTGTGTTGGAGTTGGATTTAATAGGCCTAAAAAAATGTTGCACCAATAGAGGGATTTAAAATTGTAAAGGGATGGGGATGGAGAGTGAAAGAAAATTTACTGTTTAAATTTCATAATGTTTGCCTAAGAAAGCATTTAGCAGAGGTCGTTTGGTTGCATTACCCTGATGTTAAATATCTGTATAAAACTTCACATTAGTGTTACAATCATTGGTTAGCTTCTAAAGTTTGCATAAAATTTAGCATTATATAATAGTACATTGTTTGATTTGGCATTTTTGTTGCCTACATAACTAATACCTATCTAAGTTATGCAGGAATTAATTTATTAATACGAGATAGAAGGTAGAATAAAAATACGAGGATTAAATAATACTTGGATCAGAACAACTAAAATGATCATAATAACCCGCATGTATTAAATATTTTTTTTTCAAAAGTAAACAAATCACATTTTAATCCTTATATTACAATTCATGCATTAGTAATCCATGCTATTACTAATCCATACATTACAATCTTTCTATTGTTAATCACCACATAACTTGTCTATAAACTAAATAATCCTGATGAGTATTACTGATGATACTTAAACATTGTCTTTAGAATTTGCTATAATGTTTAATGATGAAGTGTGTTTAAATTGGGTAATTGCGTAGGCCTGGGGTTAGGGCTTTGGTTCTAATGCTTAAGGCAGCCTATCAGCTCCCCAGTAATTGCGTTTTGCATTTTGGAAGGGGAAATTTTCATAAAGCACTATCTTTTAGTAGTAATTAGTCATCTATAGATGCCATTTGCTATATTACGGATTATAGATACCTTTTATGTGGTTATAAGATGTATTCGATGTATTTAAGCTATTGTATTCATGAATACAATAGCAAAAATAGGCGTGAATCAGGGAAGTCCAGCTAATCAGTTGCTGTATTCGACTGTATTCATGGAGTGAAACATGGGATTACAGCTGGACAGATTATTGTATTCGACTATATTCACGGCGTGAAATAGGGGATTACAATGTTTTTAAAACGGAAAGTGAATCATTTAACATAATAGACTCCTAATATAACTCAACAAACTCAATTATAACACACAAATTTTTGTATTTTCAGTTATAACAAAGATTCTCAACCGAAAAATACTCCAAAAATATAGCAATCTTCAGAGAAATTATATAATACATCAGAATACATAAATTATATNAGGAGCCCACCTGGAGAACAAGGGAATACTTTTCAAGCTTCAGCAATCAGGAGCCCACCTGGAGAACTAAGGGAATACGTTTTCAAGCTTCAGCAGTCAAGGCGCCCACCTGGAAAACAAGGGAAGTACAATTCAAATTCTATCCTTTAATTTTTAATATTTGATAACATGATGCGCCCAACCACCACACTAGGGCAGAAATTTTTCTTTGCTTGTCTGTTTTGTTGAAACAGGAGTCCACCTGGAGAACAAGGGAATACTTTTCAAACGTTGCAGTCAGGAGCCCACCTGGAGAACAAGGGAATACTTTTCAAGCTTCATCAATCAGGAGCCCACCTGGAGAAGAAGGGAATACTTTTCAAACGTCAGCAATCAGGAGACCGCCTGGAGAATGGAGGCATATATTTCAAATCTCAGCGGTCAAGCATCACTCGGAGGAATGGCGAAACATCTCCAATCACAATGCAAGGCAACAACGCAAGAATTCCAGTGGAAATACAAGTTCAAGGCAACAAACTACAGAGCAAGTTTGAAGACATAGATAGGACGTTTTTGTAAAGTTCATAGATCATAGCTTAGTATAGCGTTTTTTTTATTTCGACACGGTGAATAAGGAGGTCAGCAAGCAGTAGCAGCAGCAACAGCAGTGAAATCTACAGCCCCTTGTAGTCCCAGCTATCAAACCTTCCAGAACTACACTGACCTGATTCCTTATAGCCAAGGATATGTAGGCAACCTCTGTAGCAGGGTTCAGTCAGACGGTTTTTCAAAAAAAAATGCTTCTCATGGAATGCCAAGCAGGCTAAAAATCTCTCGTGATTGCTCATTTATCTTTGCCCGAAAATCCTTCGTGTCTCCGAGCAAAGAGGGGCAGCAGTGAGCACGTGATTTTTGCCTCGCTCAAATATTCCTATAAAATTCATTAGAATTAGGATTTTTCTTTTATTATTTGAATTTTAGGGAAATTAATTGCATGATTTCGTGTTTGTTTGCATTTTGTGTGCATTTTAGTGGGCATAATTCATAGAAAATACAAAAATAACATATTTGCACTTAGAATTCGATTTTTATATTTTTAATTTTATTAGTTAATTAATATTACCAAAATAAGAGAAAAATAACAAAATAGTCATTTTTACATTTTTGTTTAGCTTTCCTTTTAAATTGGGATTTAGTTAGTTTTAGGAAAATTAATTAGTTTGATTTCAGTGTAGTTCAAGTCTTTGTTATTTTTAATTTTAATTTTAATTGTTTCTTGCTTTTAACAAAAACAAAAATCAAATGAAAATGAGATAAAAAGAAAGAGAAAAAGAGAATAAATAAAAGATTAAAAAGAAAACAAAAAGAAGAACAAATCAGGCCAGCTATTTTTTGGACCAATATTCAAGTCAAACTCACCAGCCCAAGCCAATCCCTCCTCTAAACCCGGATTCAACCCAGCCCAAATCCTTAGCCAACCCGGTCCAGACCCCTCCCCAATAAAACGACGTCATTTTCCATTGCAATCAATCCTGACCGTCTAGGTTATTTGATCTAACGGTCAGGAACTGATGGTTTTTAATATATATGTGTCCTAATAACCCCCTACCCCCCCCCCCTCTTTCACCACCTCCCATTCTCTTCCTTGTAACGCCGGCGTAGAACCACCACTTCTCCACCGGCCGCCGCCGGCCGGAAATCGCCTCCGCCGGCGGTGATTCTCTGATGAACCCCAAAATTACACCATAGATGCTCCTCCACCTCCCCTTTCCAGATCTAGGTTTAGTTTCCTTCAAATCACATTCCAGCTCCTCGAATATTGAATCAAAATCCCAGCCCAAAACCCTAACTCGTCCAAACCTCACCAAATTCACACCCCATACTCTCCTCACCCTCCTCTACCTAAATCCCAAACTAATTTTCCCCAAATCCAACTAAAACTTTCCGAATTTTAAATCTAGGGTTTTGATATGAACTAGTCGAATTTTCAAGGTTGCCAGGGTTCGAATTGGGTTCCAAATAAGGTTATGTGCTTGTCCTTGGCAAGAACAAGCATATAACATTATTTGGGGACTCAATTCAAGGTCAATCGACTGAAAGACCAAAATCAGTAAGTCCTCTCATTTGATTTTTTTTATTTTTCTTTTATTTTTTTTGTGATATTCCCCTCCTTGATTAGTTGTTCTTCATGTTAATTGATTTAGAAATTTTAGGGTTTTAATTCATTTTTGTTTCTGGTGATTCTGTTTTGTTTTAGTTCTTATTTTTTTGGTTTAATTTTTGTTCTGTTGGATTTTTTGTTAGTTTGATTTTTGTTTCGATTAAATAATCCATTATGGCTGCTGTAATTTGATTTTAGTTTCAGGCTTGTTTGATCCCCATTAATTGTTAGATTTAATTTCATGATTAGTTACATTGTTAATTAGTTCAATTTTAGGATATGTTCGGTTATAGCTGAATGGCTTCCAGCCTTTAACTAATTGACTATGGTCATCTTTTGACCAAATTAAAGAGGGCTAGGTTAGTTGACATAGGCTTGGTAATTTCAGAATCAAACCAGGGGTAATTGGGGTAATTCAAAATAGGGAATCTTGCAAATAACTGATTTGGAAACCCCTAGAACATTCTAGATGGGGGTTCCAATTAGAGTTTTAGTAACTTAGTGCAGTAACTTGGGCAACAAGTCAACAAATGAGGGACTAATTAAGCAAAACTGAAAAATAAAAGAGGGACTAAAGGTGTAAAGCAGAAATCTGAAGGCAGCCCTAGGCTTTGTCTATAAAAGGCATGCCCATTGCCTTGTTTTACAAGTTTGGAGCCTCTAAAAATTCCCTTTCATTGTCCACAAGTTTCATATCTGAAATTTGAAATCCAAACTCCAAATCTTCAAAAAAAAAATCAAAAAAAAAAAGAAACCAAAAGCAATAAAAATCCCAAAAAATTACTGTTACACTAGTGTTCCTTAGGTCATTTTCGAATCCAGCATTTAATCCAACTCTCTAGCTTATTTAGGATCCAAAACTACTTGAATTTCCATGGTTTTGTTCGACATTTGAGATTTGAAAGCATCTAGAGTCACTTGCGCATTGGATCTGATTTGTTCGAGTTAGCTGTGGGTTATCTGCCGAGTGTGTTGATTTACTGGGTTCATTTCTGGTTATTTTGGTGCTGTTTCAGGTTGATCTACTAGTCCTGTTTGATTCAAAGTATTTCTGGGCTGCTTCTGATTACTTGCTCGCTGTTGCTGACCTCTCGTTCTTCTTATTCAATTTCTACTTTCAGGTACACTTCCGGAGGTCATTACTTTGTAGATTGCAAGTTAAGGTGAAATGAGTTGAAGCATGCACATTACAGATCTCATTCACTGTCAATATTTTAGTACTTCACTGTAAATAACACGGACTGTTTGGACTGTATGAGATATTAAACATGATTCCTAATCTATTTCATGCTTATATAAACGTAGTTAGAACTGCTAGATTCAAATCAATTTAGGCTCAATGCCAATGTTAATAGGTGTTAACTGGAAAACAGAAGTTAATGTGTGTAATTCTGGTTCTGTTCGGATTTCATGTCACCAAGTTTATGAATCTGTCAGTGTTGCATGAATCTGAACTCGAGATAATCATTATTCACTTAACGTGATTGCGTTTTGGTCACATATCTGTTGTCTGTATAGGCGTTCAAATTAGAATAAATTCGAATTGTAAAGTGCTTTGAATTAAATTGTCCGCTTAGCTAGTTTGAATTATAGGATTTAGACAGTTTGCAACTGGATTCTTCTTCTGTATCACCGGGCTCAAATGCCAGGCCTAGTTGGAAATAATCAGCTCCATGGCTGAAATTCGTGCAGCAACATGCCTTG